TAGTGCATGCTCAAGGTGTCTCTGAAGGAGGGACAAGTGAAGCCTCAAGGGGCAGTGGAATCTCAACTCCTATCAGGAAAGAAAATTCTCATGCAGTATGCAAGGACAGCCAGACGTTTTTTTCCACTTAATAACATATTTTATTTAGTTTAATGTATCCAAAAGAATGCAGCCAGACTTTTTTTTTTTTAATGCAGAGTGGTCACTTTGGAGCCTCCCCCAGATAGTAAAGGGCCCACACTACCCTGTTGGCTACTCCTGTTGGTTCTCTTGATGGAGGTTCCTGGCTGACCGTTTCTGGAAAGGACTCTTCCCTCCTTCTCTTCTTCTCCAGCTCCCTCTTGGGGGTGGAGGGGGTACAGGGCCTGGTGCTACTTCTTCCCGTGACCGTGTGATGTGTCACCTCCATGGCTTAGTGGTACAAGGCCCTGTACTGAACATTTAATGTGGTGGAATAACCAGCTTGAGAATCAACTCTGCCCAATTTTTTCTCGATTGTAAGCTCATCAGGAAAGAACGAGAAGTATTTTTTTCCTTCTTCTATAAAGAGAGGAGCTGGGTTCTGGGTCCTGGATGTCTGGACTTCTCCGGTCTCAGGGGAGCATTAGATGCCTTTGTTTTAAAAAATCGGGGTTCCTGCAGAAGGCAGGACTCAACCCACTGGAATGATGAGGATGAAGAGGGTGGAGCCCCAAGGCTGGCCAGAGGGAAGGAGTGAGGTTCTGAAATGGTGAAGACCCACCCCAGCTTGTCATGTCTTAGGCAAGGGCTAGTTACCTGCGGGCCAGCGAAGGATCAGGTACTGATGTGCAAGACTAACAGTCAAGGCAGGTGTCCCCTGGTGCCAAGCCTGGCACACAAGAAGTGGAGAACTCAGCAGTAGCTGCCTGCCAGCACCTGGACCAGGCTGGCCTGGGCCCGCAGGGCAGATGGATCCACAGCACTGACCAGATGGCTGTGGACTGCACCCGTAAGTATAGGGGATGTAAGGCAGACCAGCTGAGCGCTGATCCTACACTTAGAGAACTGTTTAGGGCGCTACCAAGCTCCTGGGGTTCCTTGCAGTCTTAGACTGGAGGTGAGAGCCCTAAAGAATAAAATGGATATCAGAATTCTTCTTGACCCTTAAAAAGCATTATTTTGGAAAACTTTAAACTTACAGAAGTGTTGCAAAGATGTCTATTCCTCACCCAGTTTGCCCCACTGTGAACAAGTTACATTTCCGTGGTATATTGTCAAAACTCAGAAGCCCTCATTGGTACATTATATTAACTAAACTCCAAACTTTATTTGGATGTCACTAGATTTTCTGCTGATGTCCTCTGTTCCAGAGTTCAATTCAGGGTGCCAGGTTGCATTTAATCACCCAGCTGGGCTTGTCAGTTGCTTTTCTCATATTAGACTAGGGCTGTGGGACTTGGGGAGGAAGACCACAAGGGTTATGTGCCCTTCACACCACACCGCGTCATGTCAGAGGGCACATGACACCCACATAATGTCACTGGTCATGTCAGCCCTCAGTGCTTGGTGAAGGTCATCTGCCAGGTTTCATGACTGTAATGCCACTGTTTATACTTCCCTGTTCTATTCTTTATAAGCCATCTGACCCTGTTTTATTTGCAACAGAAAAATAAAGGAATGCGATGCTGCTTGCAACTGAGTGTCGTAGACCAATTCTTGCCTGGTATTTTTATATTCGAACAAGGGTTTTCTTGAAGCCCTCTGCCTTAACCAAAAGTAGCAGCTCTAATGGTAGGAATTTCAGGCTCTGTGACAGTTGGGTGTGGGCGTGTGGGTTTGGGCGATAAATGTAAGCAGCGTTCTCCGTCCTACCACTCAGGCAGTGCCCTGCTCCACTGCCTATATATAGGGCCAGAGCATGGGGTAGCCTCTTCGTAAAATCTTAGCACAGATTTGAAAACTTGACCTGCCTACGTATATATGAGGGGCTATGCTACCATTTATTTTCTGACACAGGGTGCGAGGGCAGATTTAGAAGGGGTGATGATTGTTTACCCAGGACACATGAAGCATCTTTAGCTGGGGACATATTTAGAGAGGCGTATGGCTCCCTTTCTGTTTCAAGCCCAAAGTGTTCCCAATAAGACAGTAACTCCATTTCCAGAGCAAGACCCCCCTACATCTTTGAAAGTGGAAGCTACGTGAGGTGAGAGATGAAAACAATGAGACCGCCCTCACCTGTGTTTCGGCTCGTCAAGAAGACAGGCGCTGCTTTCCAAGCCTCGTTGCAGACTTTCAGCTCCAGGTACCGCTTTGTGCACTTCTTATTTTCCCATCTGTTCTGATGACCCTGAGAGTTAGGGATTTTCAGGTTTAATGCTTTAGACAAAAAGTACTTCTGTGGCTGGAAATCAGCAGAAAGACTATGAGTCATTCAGAATCAGTGAAGTGACAGTCATAGTTACTGGAACATTGCAGAAGTTGTTTATTGGGCTTCTAACTTGTTGAGAAGCAGGGAATTTAGCAACAGATTTAGCGCAATAAAGCCTGGTGATGTTTGTTCGCACTTCGTGCTGCCAGAATTAAAATGCAGTCCCATAAGTCTTTGACTTGGGCCCTTAGCAGAAATCAGCTCACCACATCCCTCTGACGTGGGCTGTGTTACCGTAGCTCTGCAGAAGCTTTGGGCGAGGCGTAGATTTGAGGGAAGTCTTTTGAAGAGGCCGTGGATATTAGGAAGGGGCCTTGGGGGTTTCTGAGGCCAGAGGCCCAGCTGAGTGCCCTGAGGCCTCCTCAAGATCCAGGCTGAAGCTCACCTCTCACACTGACCTCCACCTGGCTTTACTTTGATCTTTTATTCAATACCTTTATGCTCGAAGTCAGACCGCGGGGCAGAGGATTAGAACAAGGTTCTGCCTCTGCTCTGGAGAGGCTCACAGTTCAGAGGGGGTTGAGGCAGGGGGCGGGTGACGTGGGACAGATAGATGAACAACCGGGCAATTTAACCAGTGGCCGGAGTTACCCAGCAGAGGAGGTGGGGTGGGGAGGGTGGGGTTCCAGGCAAAGACAGGGCAAGTTAAAAGACCCAGAGGCAGGCTGGGAGAGCTGCAGGTAACTAACCCAAGCAACCACTATGGAAATAAAGAGATTTTGCTTATCTTTTAAAAAGTGACCTAACGATTAAACTTCATCTGGAACATAAACATGCCAAAAGAGTTCTTAAGAAAGTTTTGGGAAAGTGTAATGAGAAAAGGAAGGAGCCTTAAATATTAAAGGAGATCTGAAAGCTGCTTTAAAACACTATGCTCTGGGCGTAAGAGTTGATAAGTGGATAGACAAAACAGAACAGTCAACCTAAGAGACCCCGGAACATTTAAGTACTTAGTAGATCATCAAGGAAGCAGTGGGGAAAGATTGTGATTATTCAAAAAGTGGTGGAAACTTTGGTTATTTGTAAAAGATTAAAATTACAGCTTCACTTGATATATTAAAATACATTACAGGTGGATTAGCATGAAAGTAAAACATCAAGCCTTTTAAGATCAGAAGAAAACATTAAAATGGAACACTTCCTAAGTGCTGCATCAATACAATAAATTATTTTGAAAAAGAACGAGATTTTCCAACAACATGAAAGAAATTCTTAAGTGTCTAAAGCAACAACAAATGATCAAAAAGGCAAATGACAGAATTGTAAAAATATTTTAAGACTATGCTAAAGGGTTAATGTCTTTATTTTGCAAGCAAACCTTACAAAATCTTAAGAAAAAACGTGTACCAGAAAAATAGATGAAGAACATGAACGGAAGTATAGATATCCAATAAACATGAAGAAATGTTCAATCTTAGAGATAAAGAATGCACAATTAAATGAAGAGGTAGCATGTTTTCACCTGTTAAAATGGCAAAGGTTTTAAAAGGACTCAGGCAACATGTACCATGAGCCTTGAGAACATATTTATTGCCTTTGACCCCCAATTCCACCTTTAGGAATCTGTCTGAAAGCTTAAATTTTGGAAATAACAATCCCCTTTTAAAAATTAATTATTTTATTTTCAAATTCTTCTACTTTTCAGTCATGTTAATAATGTAATTTCACATATATATTTTATTTTGTTATATTAAGTCCTATTTGTCAAGGTAGAAAGCTAGAATATATTTTACTTAACAGGTTAACACTTTGATTTATAACTTAAGTATGTGGACATTACTAACTAATTAGCTATGGTATTTATGAAATTGTTTTTTGATGTTATCACATGCAAAATTATCTTTGCCATGCAAAGGAACCATGAATTAATCCCTTTGGAAAAAAATTTTAAAAACTCATCAAGCATGGTGGAAATAACCCCATTTTTTTAAAGGCAAACTCTCTCTCCATAAATTTATACTAACTGTGGCCCAAACCCATAAAATTATACCTGACAGTCTCCTCTCTTATGCCATTTCACAATATTGTAAAGAGAGTTTGCAGTCAGATTGTCGAGTTGCTAACACTGTGACAACAGGCAAGTTACTTAACCTTTGTGAAACTCAGTTTCTCCGTCTTTAAAGTGGGGATTTGCCATTAGATCAGTTTCCTAAAGTATCGGAGGGCACATAACGATTGCTCAATAAATGGTGACACCAGGGTTTCCATGTTTCCATGAGATGATTCTGTTCTAACCCTTCAACACGTATTTGCAGATTTGATTTGTAACAAGTAAAACACCATTACATGTTTAGGAATCTGGCAGAAGAAGAGAGAAGGAAGTACTTTTGGAAACTTATAGGGATCTTGGTGCTTGCTGAAGGCAAGCAGGCAGGCACCACACAGGGCTCACATGGGACAAGGGAGCAGGGGCTCATGGGAAATGGCCAGAAACCCTGAGTCTCAAGGAGTGATGCATTGATCAGCCTAGACAACAAATTAACAACAATAGCAAAGGCAAGCAATTGGCCACACCTGTTTTCGGGACACACCTCTCTTGAAGGAAGCCACCAACAATATTGCTCCACTTGAGCCTGAAAACCTCTCCTGAGGTCTTAGGATGTGACTGTCACCGATGCATGTCTTCCTGCGAGAGACACTGATCGTTTGTGTCAGCACAAACGCCCACCGGTGCTTCCACCAAAGCAGGAGACTCACTGCTGGTGTGGAGACTTGAGTAACAGGACAGCTTCTGGGCGGGATGACCTCCCGGATTCCCACTAAAAAAACAGGAACAGCCTGTCGCAGAGTTAGCAACCCAGGGAGACTTACTGCCACGTGCAAGGGACATGGAGGAATTTCTGTTGTCTACAGCTTAGACTGAAACAGACTCAGAGGAGGGGTGCTCTCATCTGGGACTGACTCTGATGCAGATATCACGCAAACTCCCTGCCCCCAGAGACCACAGCTCATAAAACTTCAAAGCCCTACCCACCATATCTGCGAATTCCTGGGGCTTATATTCTCACGCTCCCTTCTGCCTCTGGCCCCCTCTGGCCCCCCTCTGGCCCTCATGCTGCCCCTGCTTGGCCCCATATCAGTCTAGCCAGAAACGCAAAGCCTTCAACACTCTCTGCAAAGAATTCACTCAGCCCGGGTGCTTCATGAGTTTAGTTGTTTCAACTCAGTTGTCTTCCATCGGGGGCAATTCTGTCCCCGTTAGGCAGTGTCTGGAGACATTTCTGGTTGTCACAACCAGAGGACGTGTGCTAGTGGCGTCTAGTGGGTAGAGGCCAGGGGTGCTACAGTGCATAGGACAGCCCCCCACAACAAAGAACTATCCGGGGGCCCCAAATGTCAGTGGTGTTCACATTAAGAAACCCGCCTTAACTGAAGACACGCAGATCACAGGGCTGGCGACATTGCACAGGGCATGCGTGGGTTTCTGCCCTCTCCGTGACTGCCCTTTCTCCTTTTCTTCTCTCTTTCTTTCAGTTGCTTCTCAGGAGCAAACAAATTCCTCTCCCTGTCTCATGGTCATCGATTAAGCAACCACCTTTAGTAATAAGAATATGCCTTTGGAGTCTCATCCACTCTACCTAGCAGCTGGCCGAGTTACTTCTTCCAAATACAGTGCTCTCCCTAAGAGGAATCCTGGTAAGTACAGTTCCACCATCTTTTTAAACATGCACGGAAAGGGACTACTTATCTGGGAAGTGGAAGAGGCTTAGACCCTCACCAGCAGCCACCAAATTTGAGGGTCAGGGCTGGAGAAAAGAGTGTGGGGTGGAGGCAGGCAAGGGAGGGAGAGAGACACCAAGATTCAGCCAGCTCTTTAGCATCTTTGAGGAGCGGCCATTTCCAGCTCCAGCACGTGGGCTGGATGGTGGCCTCAGGGCAGAGCCCGGGAACACAGAGCTGCTTGCTCAGAGGACAGGCGCATCAGGCACAGCATGCGTGTTGCTGTGGACATGAACAGGGGTTTCCGGCTTGTAGGTGAAGCCCTCTGCCCAGAGGCCTATGGTCCCGCCTTTCTCCTTTCTTTTCTCCCCAACTCCCACCACGCTCTCTGCCAGAGCTGCTGGACCTCCGACTTAGTAAACTGAAACTTGAGTGAATCTCTTTACTTGCGTAAAAAACTCAAACAGGTGACCCCATCGTTTTGAATGGTTTCACCTTAACTCCCGGCCCTCCTCTCCCTCTAGAAGGCTCGGCTCAGACAGAATGCAAGAAACCAGGGGACGCCTCACTTCTAAAGAAGGGAACCCATCCTAGGAATCAAGCAAATCTGCAAAATAAACTATGAAATAAACTCAGTGCAAGGAAAAAAAAAATCTTATTTGTGTTCTCAGTAAGATCCAAGCGGACATGGCTGCTGGGAAAGCAGTCAAAGTAAATTCGAAGGGGAGCTATCAGAGCAGGAGAGGCAGCCTGGAGATGACAAATGTGATTGCCAAATTACAAATCCCAGTGGAGGCACTGGAGACCGCAGAAATTTAAATCAGGGAAAGAGAAGATAAGGTTGGGAAATTCTCCCAGAACCCAGAGGAAAAATAAAAAAGAGATTATGGGGCAAGTTTAATAACAATAAATATTATTTCATAAAGAGATTGGGGACTAGAAGAAGGTGGAATGAGAGCAAAAAGGCGGGGGGAGATGCTCTGAACTGTTACGGTTTAAAAAGGAGTCGAAGGGGATTGAGGATCTTCCTAGAAAGCGTGAATTCATACCTTATGTGGAAGTACAATGTGTCCTGAGAACAGGCGGAAATAAACCTCATTAAAGCAAGATTCAGCGAAGAGTGAGGCCTGTCTGGGCCTTGCTCACTCCGGCCATTGGCATCCGTCAGCAATATTTAGTGTCTGCACAGCCCACGCATGCTCTCCTAACAATATCTGCAAGAGTTCTCTGATCTGGAGCTTTAGGTAGACAAAAGCCGTCTGGTAGGAATAACTGGAAACCACTGTTATTAAATGAGAATTGCAATTTAGTGCAATTAATTGAAGAATAAATCATATTGTGCATGTGCATTTCATGTGCGTGTGTAACCTGCGCTTCTGATATAGATGATCGGTGTGTTAATTTCCTGGGCATGGGGGAGGGTGTTGGTGAAAACCCTCGGATGAGCGTGTGCTCATTTTTCTCTGGTCTGGGTTCCTCTCCTGCCTGTATCCAGGCGAAGCTGCCCCTCTTCTGCAGGTCCCACGCTGGTCTGAGAACCAGGGTCATCATTACTAGTTTAGTTTCCACTGACGCCCTTGTTCCCAGGTTTTTATTCTTCCCCAAGTCCAGTCTTCTTGCCAAGGTGTGTGCTGCCTCTGCCTGCTTGTCCCTGCTGCCTCCCACCTGTGTATGCTCTTGTGCTCTGTCCCGCGTCTGCCTGCTCGACGGTGCAGTGTGTCACTCTTTGGAGTGTGCCTATACTATGCCAATAGGATGGGTTATCTCCGCATTTTTTGGTGGGGAAGATAAAGTCCTAATTGGAACATGAGATGAAGATGTATCCCCTGGAGAGCTGGGCTCCATGACACGCCCCACGGAACACCTTAAAGCACCTTCCAGGCTGCGGCAGCTCAGGGCTTCCCACTGAGTCATGCCTGTTCTCATATGGGCACAGAAGCGTTGCTCTGAGCTGTACCAGCACCAAAGGCTTGTCCTCAGCTCCCTGGAAATAAATTTCTGGGTAATGGAGGTGACCCCTGCTCAAGAGCTCTGAAGTTAACAGTCAATTGAGGGAGCCCGACCAAGAGATTTTGCAGAACATCTGCGGAAGCTGAAAAATCCACTCGACTCGACCACTTTCACAGACCCAGAGAATCCCTGTGGCTTTGATGTCCTAAGTGGGAAATAAAGTGGACTTGGGAGCTCAGATAGTGCTGGAATGTCTTCAGAAGAAAAACTGAGAAGAGTAGATTATATAGATAGGGTTGAAGACCTTCTACTTTTCATTTTTATTCTTATGTGTCATCTAGTTTATTTTATCAGGTACACACTTTATTCTTCTCCGTACTTAAGATAGTTAAAGCAAAACAAAAATAAAACACAGGGGACTTGCTGGCCAGGATTGAAGCGGTGGTAGGCTTGAAGACTAGGAGACTGACTAGGTCTCTGAGCCTTGTAGTCCATCAATGCCTGCTGTCAATGGTACATGAATCGGGAAGTAGGAGCTAGACTGGTGAGGACAGTGAGAATGTGGGCTGGAGAAAGAGCCCTAGCCTGGAGCCTTGAAAAGCCCAAATAAGCCTTGTGCTGTGGTTCTGATGTTAACACATGCAGCCTGTGTCCTTACAAGATCACGTGTGGTAGATTATCACGGCAGGTGTCCTTAGTGAATTCCATCTCCATGCCCTTGGGCGTCTCTGCCCGTAGTGACTCTGGGTTTGGCCATATGACTTGCTTTGGCCAATGGGATATCTGCAGACATGGTATTAGAAGCTTGAAATGTTTGTGTTGAGGTTCGGCCTACCAGAATGTTGTCTGCATGTTAGAGGCATGTAACCCAGCTGACCTGCCAGAGAGGTGACTTCAACTGCATGAGGGACTCCAGGCAAGACCAGCAGAAGAACCACTAGCTAAGAGGAACTAGTAGCAATCACCCACCTGCTGACCCACAGAATAAGTAAATGGTGGTTGTTTTCAGTCTCTAGGTTTTGTATTGCATACTTTATTTTGGGGGGGAGGTAATGAGGTTTATTTTTAGGGGAGGTACTGAGGATTGAACCCAGGGTCTTGTGCATGCTAAGCATGTGCTCTACCACTTGAACTGTATCCTCCCCCTCAGCTTCTAAGTTTTGAGTGCATTGTTAGGTGTCAGTATTTAACTAATAACGTCTGTCAAATGTCTTGTTACATTTGCACCTGGCACCTTGCTCTGCATATACTATGTGATCAATAGATGAATCCTCCCATAGCTTTTATTGAAGGAGGCCCAGAACGAGAGAAGGAGAAATAGTATGGACGAGTGAGGATCGGGCGTCTCACCACTCTGTGACTCAAGTTTCTCTCTAGATTGGCCACCTTGTCTTATATCAGCAGGCTTAGGTAAAAATGAATGATGTTGGTAAGTTCTGTCTTCCCTCTAATTGTATCAGGAGGTCAGAAGTGTGCTTCCAACATTCAAAGGAGAGAAATTTCCCCAGTTCCCCACCTGCATTCTCCTCTCCAATGAGATGGTTTGAGGGCTTTGGGGAGAAGCCTGGGTAAAGGGTTCATGTCACAGGACCCCCCAGGCTACTGGGCTGAGTCCCTCCTTGGGAACCCCCCAAGGGGCAGTGCTGGTATGAGGCACTGGGCAAAGCACATTCCTAGACGCCACCAATGAACTTGAAGTGTTTTCCTCCCCTCCGTGGAGAGGAAAGGAGGAAAATCATGCTCAATGCATGGCACTGCAACCCAACTTCATGGGGAAAAAAGGCCTTTGTGAAAGTATAGTCTTGGGAACTCCCACACAAGTAGTTGGTCTTTTGGCCCTGTGTTTGCATGTTACAGTCAATTATTTAAATAAGTCATTATCGATTACATTTATAATGATTGATAAGAATAGTTTAAAAATGAAACCAACTCTATGTTAACTAGACCCCTTTTTCTCAGAATGATTTATGTAATGTATTTATGTAATGTAATGTATTTATGTAATGAATCATGTCTGTTCCCCATGGAGAGGCCAACTTGGCTGCAATCTAGTTGCATGGTTTCTCAAGTAGAGGTGCCATGTTTGCACCCAAAGAAATGCAATGCATGCACAGATCTGTCCTGATCTCTGAGGAAGGTTAACCTCTTC